TACTATACCCGTAGGTATAGGTGGTTGTGGGTGGGAAACCTGAGGAGGTGTTAGGGAAGATGGAGATGGGACCATAGTGCGTGGAGACGGGACCGTAGTAGGAGATTGGGGTGGATTTAAGTTGAAGATGGACGATATGGTTGTGGATTGAGCCAGTATTATAGGGAGGGAATTGTGGGTTATGGGGATAGTGAGGTCAGTCCGTGTGGAAACAAGTGTGGGCAGTGGGGGTTGGATGGACATGGTAGAGAAAGGGAAGGTGGTTTCAACAAACCTAACATGACGAGACACGTAGATGCGTCTCATAGAGGGATCAAGACAATGGTAAGCATTTTGATCAGCTGCATAACCTACAAAAACACATATGGTAGATCTTGCAGCAAGCTTATGATTAGCGTATGGTTTAAACCAAGGAAAGCACAAACATACAAAACTCTTAAGCTTATGATAATTTGGGGTGGCGTTTAGGAGTTTGGAAAATGGTGATTTGTATGCAAGTATGGGTGTAGGGAGGCGATTTATGAGATATGCAGCAGTTGTCATTTCATAGGGCCAATATTTAAAAGGTACACTAGAGTATGTTAAAAGAGAAAGGCTAGTTTCAGCAATATGATGATTTCGTCTCTCAACAATGCCATTATGTTCAGGGGTGTGGGGTGGTGTTGTTTTGTGGCTTATACCATGATCACACAAGAATAAACGTAAGCCAATGTATTCTCCGCCATATCGGTGTAAAGAACTTTTATATTATGATTGAAGTAATTTTCAACAAGAGATTTAAATTTAGGAAAAATTGATTGAACATCAGATTTCTTGCGCATTGGATAAAGCCCAATATAACGAGTAAAGTGATCAACAAACACACAATAATATTTGAGGCCATCATTAGATAAAATAGGAGAAGTCCATACATCTGAAAATATAATTTCTAATGGAAATGACGACAAAAGTGAAGATTAATGAAAGGAAAGTTTGTGACTTTTGCTTATTTGACAAGATGAGCAATCTGATTGGTTAAACTGCATAGACCATAAGCAAAATTCACGTTGAAGAAAACTGAAAATTGAAGAGGAGGAGTGGCCCAACTTGTGGTGTCAACCTACTGATTTATTTAGTTGAAGATGGTTAACAAATGGAGAGCATGATGGCCAAACGTAGACGTCATTAACACATGGTCACCCATAAATAGCAAGTCGGGACCAATGTAGGGGTGGTAGACAACAAGATTGTTTAGTCCAGTAGTGACATGATGTGTGGCTTCACTATCAAGTAGGTAATGATGATTGGAAGGGCTTGTGGTCACGGTGTTCGCCCGTGGGACAGTGTAGTGATTGGGCTGACGAGGTGGGTTTTGCGAGACTTGATTGATGGGTTGAAGTTCACGAAAAACTAGGCACTACAACAACGAATGTCCAATATTTTTGCACCATTGACATTTTCCTAAGTAAGGTCGTGGTCCTGGTCCTACTGAACGAGAGGTGTATTGTTTTGCGGCGGCACAAACCAAGAAGCATTTGGTGGAGGAGATGACCATGACTCTAACTATGTAGATGGCCTCAGTTTGGCTTTGTTGGATTTAGCTTCAGCAGTGAGTGTTGTTGTGGGACCTATGGTCAGTTGGTGAGTGGTTTTCAGGTGAAGTTCATCTTGGATGAGCTTCTCATGGAGTTCATCAAAAGCAATGGGGTTGTCTCGGGCGTTGACGCCATCAAGGACGGGCTTAAATCTTTCAGCAAGACCAAGAAGAACGTGATTAGAAACGTCCTCGACAGAAACAGAGTGACCGATGGAAGCAAGTAAATCAACAAGTATTTTGATGTTGTTCATGAATTATGTAACAGAAAGTGTGCCTTTCACCGTGAACGTAAACGATTCTTGAGTTGCTTGACTTGTCCACGAGAGGCACATGCGAAAGTGCCCTTGAGAGTTGACCAGAGAGTAATGGAGGTTTTGGTCTGGGTAACTAGCGAGGCAACAAAATCCGAGAAAGTGCTAAGAAGAGCGCCATAGACGAGACGATCTTGGCGTTTCCAGGAAAGATACGCGGGGTTCGCTTAACTGACAGGTGGGGTATCAGTGTTGTCGATGAAGGCTATCGGTGCTAGATGAGAACCATCGAGGAATTTGTAGAGGTCAAGGCCATCTAGATTTGCTTCTATTTGTAACTGCCAGTTGAGATAGTTGAATTGTGTCAGCTCGACGACACCTGACAAAGTAACAAAGGAGAAGGGCTTTGTGGGTTCATGGGGGTTAGGGAAGGTTAGATTGGATTTCGCAGCCATGCGTGAAGAAAGGGAGCGACGTCCTAGAACGTAAAAGAAATTTGAAGAAGGTGGGAGAGGTAGGATCAAGAAGATATATGTGATACTATATGGATGAATTAATTCTTATTTATTATGTACGTGAATGTAGTATATATACAAGATGACACTACATAATAGGAAGAGATATATGCTACCAGTAGTTCCTGGAATATCTCTTTAACAACATAATCCATTAAGATTACGACTAATTCAAAAACATGTTAATAACAAATTATTGTTGCTGATAATTTATCAATAACATAACCAAAGTCTTCTCACTTTCAGTATTTTGGGACTTAATATGTACTTAAATGTAATATGTACTTATCCATTTTTAATCCTCTCTTTCATTTACTTCAAATTCATTTAAACCTAAAACACATCCTTTGAACCATCAAGTAATACCTCAAAATAAAAAAACTAAAATAACAACTTCAATCAAAATAAAACTATAAAGACTTTTAACCAAAATATATGCGACCAAAGTCTAGTTAAATGAAAAGGAAACAACAGAGACACATCAAACTCCTCCAATTATATCATCGAACTTATCTTAACAGACACCACAACCTTCTTCAACATGGACTCCTTCATCATGGGGGGATGTGGACAAAGACACACTTCTCCATCCAAATTTGGTCTATCCCCAGGGCATTGCACAATAGCAGCAAATTCATCTGGACTTGTGCAAAGGGTTGGGTTCTGATATTGGTGCAAACAGAACCTATGCATGTTATACATTAGATTCATCTGTCCCTATGATTAGCAGCTTGTTGTTCCTCTACATGAATCAAATTAACTTCTACACGTTTCATGTAATCAATTATCGAGGTTTGAGCTCCACCATGCTGCGACAGTGATGGTTTTCATATGCGTTCCCGACGTGAATTTTTACTTCCTTCTGCTCCCAAAATAGTTGAATGACCACCTTCTAGAGGGTTCACGTAATTTTTCAATGATTGCATCTTTGAAGAAATTGTTATTCCCGTCTTCACTATTGGCCTCTATTCTTGGATTCTTCCCTTCATCCCTAGACACAACGTCCTTTCCTTTGTCTTTCCATCAACCCATCTGCAAATAGATAATAGTAACCATTTAACTCATCACAACATCTACACCATCAAAATAACTTATACATCTTTACTTAGGACTTAACAATAATGCTTTCATATCACATCACATAGGTTTAGGCAAGCACAACATGGGTGATAGGTATAAAACAATATGGTAATATTGTATAACATACTCTTTAAATGAACAACTAAAATAATTGGTATATATACCCCAACTTATCAAACACAAGAAATTTAACCATTTTGTCATTCCGTCAAACACGTGCTATCAAAAAACTTATGCACCATTACTGGGTTAGGCTTCGCTACAACACAAATTAAGCACATCAAAACCACATATGAAAGTGTATTGTTCAAACCCATAATCAACAACACACTCCATAGACCCACTTTTAAAGACACATTGCTAATTACTCAAGAAACCCCAACCAATTTCGTCCATAGTAAAAATTTTCACTTACTTGGGCTTCTCAATCACAAAGGATGGTAGTAATACCCGACCAAGGTTTTGTTTCTAAACTAACTCCACGTCCAGATGGTTGATTTTGCGATGGCGCCCACTTCCACCAGTGAGCATTCAAAGAGCCCTCTTGGAAGCGCCCTAATTAAAACAACACTTTATCGTCATGTAATAAAAAATAATCAAGCATTTTGCTCAAGCAACGCTATCTCGCTTAAGCTAGATTTCAACGGGGTCCTCATTAGATGGAACTCCAATTCTCTCTCAAGTGACTCTATTTCACTTAAGCGATATTTTTTCAGTACCCTTAGTAATATGGAACCCAATTTACGCTCAAGCGAGACCATCCCTCTTAATCGAGATCCAGACAGGGCCCTCACTAAATTGAAACTCCAATTTTCACTTAAGCGGCATACCTTGCTTAAGCGAGCTTACTACATGTTCTTACCAAAATAGAGGTCCAATTTGGGCTCAAGCTACGCTGTTTCGCTTCAGCAAGATTTTAAAAGGGTTCTAACTAAAATGGAAAGCGACTGTATCTCGCTTAAGCCAGATTTTTATAATGTCCTTATAAAATGGAACTCCAATTTCTGCTCAACCCAATGCTTCTCGCTGAGGTGAGAATCTGGCAGGTTCCCTTCTTCAACCAAAGTGCATGTGTCACTCGAACGAGAACACGTCGCTTAAGCGAGTGTTTTCCAGTTCCCCTCCTTTAATCAAACTTCATTTTTCGGTCAACCTAATGTGTATCATTTTAAGCCACAATTTTATAATTCTCCTTCAACATTCATATGCCAATTGTTTCACTTAAGCGAAATTTGCTTACATGAAGCGAAAATATAACACTTCTCATAAACAAATGACATAAATATATAGTAATCACACATCAAAGAACTCGTTACCATTGAATATTTTTTTTTTAGAAAACACTCAAACTCCAAAACAATTCATGTGTCTA